TTATTGTTTTATTGAATTTTTATCGGTTATACGTAACACCAATCTAGGTAGCATTGATCCTGGTGATTTATTGTCTAATAAATCAAACTGCATTCCAACTTTATTAAACAATAAATCACTACTGTTCATTGTCACCTAGATTGATAGAACAATAAATTAAAATGAATTCTAACTTTATTCAACAATAAATTACTATGGTTATCTGTTACCTAGATTGATGATAAGTATTTAACTATTGACGTTGTTATTACTATTTGTCAAATATGCCCTTATATGGTTCAATTAAAAAATTGGATTAAAATCTAATCGAAATCAACAATCAATTTTAACTACACATTTTATATTATTCATAACTTTTCAATTATACATTTTATCAATTTCTATCAAAATCTACTAAAATTTTGATTTTTATTTAAATCAAACAGCGACATGATAGGCTAGTTTATGTGGCTGGGCCCAAGAATCTCTCAGGTAAGTTGGGCCTATTTATAATGGTGAACCACACAATAAAATTTACATAAAGGGAAAAAAAATGTTGAGGAAAATACTTTAGAATAAAATTCTCCAATTCTCTTTAAAAATGTAATGCCTTGGTAATACTAAATTATATTGTATTGCTTAGTAAATAGTAAAATACAATATTATGTTCACTTTTACAATGAATAAAATATATAAATTTAATTGTATCATTTCAAATTTATACCAATAAAATTTACAAAATATATATTGATGAAAGTTGTAAATAACGACTACGGGAGTCATCACATAAAACTATAATGGTTGATAGCCTATTGACTATATGTTGATGGCAACATTCAACAATTGTGAAATTGTAATATCATTTAAATACGCAAAATGTCCATATTTATTAGTTTATTAATCTTTAATTTTTTTTTTTAACTATATGCAATACAATTTTTTTTACCTATAACGTATTTAAATAAATATAAATACACTTTAAATAAATGTTAAGATCACGGAGAAAGAAAATACAAGGAAATTTTATAATTAATTATTATGTTCTTTTTAGGAAAATTATACTTACAATTCCAACTTTTGATTAATGCCAACTTGAATATTAACTACTTTTTCAATAACATTTGAATTCTTAAACTATAATATTGAAGTACTTGGGATGAAAACATCAATTTGATTGTTAAAAAGTTAAAATTTTGATAGAAATTGCTTTTATATTTTTACTTTCAATTTAAATAAAGAATTTCCTCCCTCCCTCCCTGTACATCTTCTCCAATGTTTTAAAAAATGGAGTAATGGACTTAGGCATGAACATAGAACATAAAAACGGGCTAAGGAAAAAGAGTCGAAATATATATATATATTGATTTTTGGGAGGTTTTCATGAATTTAAATTGGTGAAATCGAAAACAAGTCAATGATTTTTTAGAAGATGATTTTTTCTGCTGAGACCGACTTTGAGCCCGGTTCTCACAGTCTTCCTCTCCACCCCCAAACCCAAATGCCAAAACAAACACATAAAAAATGAAAAAGGGAACCATGAGAGTTGGAGTAAGGGTAGGCACACGGAGAGGAGATTAAGGAGGGAAGCTACAGGGGGTCGGGAGAGGGAGAATTTTGCCATCCCTTTTTCCGGTTCTTCATGTTCATGGCACTTAATTTTTAAACTGTTAAATTAACACTTTTCGTGTGGGGAAGAGCCAAGTGCTACATAATTAATAGATTAAAGACCCAAGTTCTAAGAAAATGATAAAAATAAAATTATAAGTTGCAAACTCAACACAATGTTCATTGTCCCAATAATTAGGAAACAAATGGTCCTTAAAATGGAAAATACTTACAACTGAAAATCTTGTTTGCTTTTTTTTGACAATATTTTAAAATAGATGATTGCCAACATAACTTTACTATATTTAATACACTTTTTCAATCTAAATTTGTTTGATATTTAATATTTTTCAGAATAACACACTAAAAACTATATTTGTTTTATTTAATTTTCTTCATTCTTATTCTCCCATCTATACTTTTAGAATCAGTGTTTCTTTGGTAACATCTAAATTGTATATCTTAGAGACAATAATTAGATAAAATTTTAAATCAAAGTATCAACTTTCATATTTTTTGAGCCAAAATCCTTTTATTATATATTTGAAATTCATTTTTTGAATATTTAATATTATAGTTGCATCACGTGTTAATAAATGAACATGAAGTAAAATACAAATAAAATAAAATAAAATAAAATGAATATAACGTTACAAAAAAAAAACTATTTTTCTTATTGTTTGTGTTTCTGCTAATCATGAATGTTGTAACATATCTAGTAGACTCATCTTCAAGTTTGAAGTCCCTGTTCGAGGGAGATCATGAAAGTGTTGCTTCTGTATAGTTTCATAATTCATGATTATCATCATTATAGCCTCTTTGCTTGATCAGCTTGATGTTGTTGGTAGATCCACTTCAATATTAGTCGCGCAATTTTCAATTTCATACTTAAATAACGATCTACATTCTATCCTTACTCTATCTTTATTACCTTTGAGTCCACTTTCTTGGTCGATGACTTAAGGGGGGTGTATTCAATCGAAACTTTTAGTCTCTTAATAACTTCTATAGACATTTGTAAGTTGGTGACTTTTTAGGATTTTATGGACTTTTAAGTGACCTTTATGAATTTGTTAAAAATTAATAAAAGTCTTCCACAAATTTCTATAGACCTTGATTAAAGATTTTTGAAGAATTTTAAAGACTTTTCATCTTACAAATTCATTATATGCAAAAATAAAATAAAAAATAAAATTACAATCTTTCTTATTACCTAATGAACATTTTCGCGAACCATGATGCTCACAAAAATTTCTTGGATAAAGTTACTAGTCACGTCCAGTCATTCAATTTTGGCGCAAGTAAAATAATAAAAAACTTTTACATCAATTTTTAAGAACATAATCAACTTTTTTTTCATGAAACATAATTTCTAAGAACACAAATTGTACTTAACCCAAAAAGGGAAAAAAAAAGAATAGATCAATGAAATTCTACGTTTTGAAACACTGCATATAATTTCAATTCAAAAATAATTATGTACACATAAAATAATCATAAATTAATTACAACAAATGATTGAATCGATATGAGAAAATTTTAGAATTGTAAGAAAAAGAATGTTTTTTTTTTTTTTAACTCTGAAATATTTACAAATCATAGAGTATATGAGAAATTTTCTTTGAAGTTTGCCATTTAAATTTTTTTACCAAAGTTCCCAAAAATCCAGTATGGAAAGAATTTTTTAAAAATCACTGTCTATTTGAATACCTCATGATTTATAGAAACTTCTAAAAAGTTTCAATTAAATACCCTATAACTTTTAGAGATTTTTTTAAATGCTTATGGAAGTCTCAATTGAATATACATAACTTTTAGAGATCTACTTGTATACCTATTTTCTATACCTTGGGTTATACTTCCTTATATGTCAAAAATTTGGCCATGTATTGAAATATGTGGTGTTAAAATCAATGCACTAAAATTTGCCAATTCACTAAGGTGTAAATCAATGTGTCAACTTTTATGTACATGTAGCATAACAAATTGAATATACCTAAATTTTTTAAATTCTCAAAAAACTTTAAAAGTCGAAAATGAATACACACTTAGACTGCTCTCTATTTGTTAGGTGCTCACCAAATCTTCCATGGTGTGCCTCTGCTTGGGTTAATATTCACTTAATAGCTTTTAAGCTGGTTTAGGATCCCCAAATTACGCTGTTCTTCATTTCATCTCCAAACCCAAACAACCCCTTACGTGAGTTTGCAGAAGTAGCCCCTCAAATTTAGTCTTTGCATTTCTGCCCCTACATTTTCTAGATTTATTTTCTAGATTTTGAAAGATGGTCCCTAAATTTTCGGGCCAATTCTGCCCCTTTAATTTCTTTTTGCTGCATATACTTTCTTAATCTCCTGCTGTCTCCGAATCAATCCGTGAATCTTTTTTTTTTATACGAGTCAGTCCCTGAAGTTTCTGTTTGCCGTGGTGCAGACCTTAAATTTTCTGGGATGCTGAGATTAAGTCTAATGATATGTTGGATGCTGCAAATCAATCCCTATCGGCTCATTTTGCAAACACGTGGGCTTTTAACTAAGGTTTGGCCTGTTAAATGGTGCAATACCCGTAGGATCATGTCCTGGTTTATATAGATTGTTAGAGCATCTTCAATGGTTATGTAAAATATAGATTTAGATCTTTAAAGTGGTCGAAAATCCATCCAATGTAGAGATGTAAATTGCATTTTTCAACAGATAACATTCATAAGAGACAAAAAGTGAATTTGAATATTTTTATTGGACGGGGTTATAGCCCCAAAGATGGTATATGATTGCAACGGGAAACATAGTCTCCTCTCCTCTACCCCCTCATTGAAAATTATTTTAAATTTTAAATTTTTTTATCAAACAAGTATGAAAGATTTATGAGTTAATTGTTTCAATGGTCGCTGAATTTAGGTTCATGTCTTTGATTGGTCACTGAAATTTAAAATGTCTGTCGAGTTTTAATCACTGAACTTAAATTCATGTCTTTGATTGCTCACTAAAATTTAAAAATATTGAGTTTTAACTATTGAACTTTGAAAAATATTGTACATTACTCACTGAACTATAAAAAATGTTGTACATGACTCACTGTAAACTCAATTTTTTTTAAAGTTTAACGGTTATGCTAGTAAATAATGTACGGCTTATTACAAAATTTAGTGGCTAAAACTCGACATTTTAAATTTTAGTAAATAATTTAAAACGTGGATCTAAGTTTAATGAACAATAAAAAACATGGACCTAAGTTCAGTGACTAAAACTCGACATTTTAAACTTCAATTACCAATAAAAAATATGAACCTTAGTTCAGTGATCAATTATTGACATGAGTTGTTCTTAATAAATTGAAAAATAATAATAATAATATTTACTGACTAAGGGCATAAAAAAGATAAAAACAAAAAAATAATAATAATTATAAATAAACATGGTGATAAATGGAGTAGGAGACGTGTCCTGCTCCACCCCAAACTCGTGCCGTCCCGTCTAGCACCGTTTTAATCGGATACGCGGGCGGGGCAAATTGAAAGAAAATAATCAATTGAACGGGGATGAGATTGGCCGACACGTTGCGATTGCTATCTGATTCTTCCTCTGGCACAATGTTATATATAAAAATAACACCACTCTTTCCCCATTTTCTTTATTGAATTGAAGCAATAATAATTTCTCTCTTTATAAATATAATCATCAGTTATCAGAGGGAAGGAGAAAAATGGCCGATCAGCTGACGGAGGACCAGATCTCAGAATTCAAGGAAGCCTTCTCTCTATTCGATAAGGATGGCGATGGTAAGCCCCTGTTAAGTTTGTATCTGTATAATGTATTCATGGGCTTGTCTCAAGTTGTTCTTTTGATCTGCTGTTGAGATCTGTTTTCTGTTTCTCGATAATTTATTTCCGTTTCATTTGCTTTCTGGGTTTCTCTTAGTTTGTTTTGAAACTATTGTTTATTGAATTAGAAGTTTCCATCTTTGGCGTCATAAATGTTTCTAGTGCGTTTTTGTGTTATCTTATTGATTTTTTGCGAGAAATATGGATCTCCGGCTAGATTATTTACGTCTATATTTGTCTATAAATTTTGTGTGTGTTTGTGTGTATGATTGATTGT